GGGAGGGGAAAAATGAGGAGCTGGTGCCATGGGCTTAAGTGGAGAGCAAATGTTTTGAGAATGATGAGGGTAATGAACGTACAAATGTGTGCTATACAATTGATGTATGTATGGATTGTGATGAGTTGTATGAGCCCCCAATAAAATGATTTAAAAAGAGAGAGTTGTTTGACCCCCTAATAAAATGATTTAAAAAAAAATCCCAAACCAAACCAAAAAATCCCCAAACACCTATTGTTGGGTAGAGCCAGCTCCTTCCATGGCGTGCTATTTATATTTGAAAAGCACCAGGTGGTGGAAATGAGATCGAATGCACTTTTCTAGGGAATTTAAGGAGGAGTCGGAATAGTGTACTCTTCCAATGAGATCCATTCCCAGGAGAGCCAATGCATAAAGTAAATTAATATTTAAAAATACATTTAAATAGTACTTTACTGATTATACAATACTTTTATAGCAAGCAATTCCTAATAGTATGATGGCCCTTGGGGTCCTGTGTCTAAAGGAAACGGAGCGACAGGGACTGAGGATGGCCTCAAGGAGGGGAGCGTGCAGGCCAGGGGGGCAGGGAAGTCTGCAGAGGGCTACCTGGAACTCCAACATTGACTTGCCCTTGTTAGACTCCAACATGAATCGAAAGGCACCAATCCCTGTGTTGGGGTTGTCAGCCTCCTCCCTGTTGCCCTGGTAACAGAGGAAAGGAAAAGACAAAATGGGTTTCAGTCAGGACTTTATTACCGAGAGCAGTGCTGTCCAATTAAATATGATGCAGGTCACATATTTAATTTTAAGTTTTATAATAATCATGCACAAGTGAAAATAAACAGGTGAAATATATTTAAGTTTTGTAATCATGCTCCAGTAAAAATAAACAGGTAAAATTGATGTGAATTGTATATTTTATTTAACCTGGTATAGTCAAAATGTTATCTCAACTGTATGTAAAAACAGTGAGATATTTTGCTTTTCTATTTTCTTACACTAAGCCTTTCAAATTTGATGTCCACTTTGGTTACTCCCTCACTGCCATTAAATCCATTCCGACTCACTGTGACCCTACAGCATAGAGGAGAACTGCCCCCTTAGGGTTTCTGAGGCTGTCCATTTTTTAGGCCCAGAAAATCTCCTCTTTCTCCCAACTGACATTTCCAGTAAGTACATCTCAGTCAGCACCAGCCACACTCCCAGTGCTCAACAGGGGTTATGATCGTGGCACTGCTAATGGTCAGCACTGACCTCAACCTAGAGGCCCCGAGACCATCACACCTGACAGAGGATGGTTCATCTGATTTTCCTACGAGCCCTCATTTAGCCAAAAGAGTAGAGAGTAAGTTTTGCATACAGGATTGGGCAAGCCTAGAGCCAACAGCAAGAGACTAAACAGGGATTTCTGAGCAGCAGTGTGGCCTGGGCATTGCCTGGTGTGTCTTCTGTTGATTACCTGCCCCCGCAGGGATAGAATTAAGATAGTTGTCCCACCTTCAAGCCTAATGTGTGTGAAAAGTTATATACTATAGACGTTAAGAGCCCGGACTAGTTTGGCCTCGGAGGAGTTAATTTAACCTCTTGATTACACATTTCAGTTGACTCATCTATAAAATGGTAATAACCGTAGGCATACCTTAAGTGATCTCAAAACTTCAGATGCATAAAACGTGGGTACATTGTTGTTCAAGACATAATGTTCAGTTTCATAACCCAAATCCATCTGGTACCAGCTGTGGTTGGTGCCATTTGGTGAAGGTTTTTCTCTTTGGCTTAAATATTATTGGGGATAATTCCTGAGTGGTGCGGCTGGCTGAGGCTTCTAAAACAAATGCATCTCCTAATTTATTGGTGACTCTGGTCAACTTCAGCTAGGCAAACCAAGCCAGGAGACAAGTGGGAACAGAGCAACCCAGCTTCCTCCTCTTGCTTCCTGAGAAGTTGCCTCCTCTTTCCAGCCAGCTCCACACATCCCCACCCCTAAGCTGGAACCCACCACCAAGGAGTCACACTCACTCACTGATATCGACTCACAGTGACCCTGTAGGACGCACACAGCTGTCCCCTGTGAGTTTCCGAAACTGCAACTCTTTATAGGAGAAGAAAGCCTTGTCTGTCTCCTGCGGAGCAGCTGGTGGTTTCGAACTGTGAACCTTGTGGGTGGCAGCCCAGCTCATAAACACATTGCCACCAGAGCTCCTAAGGAACCCCAAGAACACCAGGAAGGCCTGAGAGCGCCAGAGTCCACTGAAAAGGCAGGACTCTTTCCCCAGATCCCCACTCCGATTAGAGCTGTACACTGATTTGAACTTCAAGCCTCCTCAGCTGTGAGACTCCTACTCTTCGAAGCCAGCCAATTGTGGCTTGTTGTTGTTGTTTTTAGTCAGTGAGTGAGAGAGTGAGAATGAGTGAATTAGAGAGTGAGTGAGTGAGTGAGTCAGTGAGTGAGAGTGAGTGAGAGAGTGAGTGAGTGAGAGTGAGTGAGTCAGTGAATGAGAGTGAGTGAGAAAGTGAGTGAATGAGGAGAGAGTGAGTGAGTGAGTTGTTGTTACCACAGCGTTAGGTAACTAAGACATCCTTGATAAATGGAATCAACCAGCCCTGAAATCTGACCTACTTCCAGACTTCATATTGTTACATCATAAATTCCTTCCTTCCTTCCTTCCGTCCGTCCTTCCTTCCTTCCTTCCTTCCTTCATTTATTTCCCTACTGTTTGAAGTGAGATTTTCTGCATCTAAGGAAACAGGCCACTGGCTCTTTCTCGCATGGAGTCAATGAGTGGGTTGGAACCACCAACCTTCAGTTAGCAGGCAAGTGCTTAGAAAACCCCGCGGCAGCCTGCTCTGTCCCATGGGGTTGCCAGGAGTCCAAGTCCACACGTGGGCACCTAACCCCGACAACAACAGTGACCTCTACCAAAAGCAAAGGGAAGACAACCGGGAAACTGATCTGAACGTCATCGCCCTATCACTGCGTTCGTGGGCTGGGAAGAAGGCAGTCTTAATTTCTCAGCTCTCTAAGCTCGAAGTTAGAGATGTCTGTTCATATCCTTGTCTTGGTTCTACTACGTCCTTTAGGCAAATTACTTTCATTTGTAGTTCTCTTGCCTGCAAAGCAGGGTTGGCAATATGCACACCTCATAGGATTGTAGTTATGATCAAATGAGATAAAAATACACATGGTAGCTGGTACAAGATAACGATTCAGTTAGGATTAGATACAGTTATTGTCATTGTCATTTGAAAGAATGGATGTTATTTTTAAACAGCACATATCAATTACACACACACACACACACACACACACACAACCTCACAAAAAAGATGAGGCTTTCTACCTCCCTAAACAGTGAAAGTCTTGGAAACCCCCAGGCACGGTCTGACTCTGCCAGATAGGGTCGCTGTGAGTCAGAATTAACTCAGTGGCAGTGTGTTTGGGTTTTTTCTTTATCTAGAAACCAAAAATGGCAAGATACTGTATGTAAAGAGATTCTTTATTAATAAGATACATAGAGATAAGAGACGAGTAAGAAGGAAAAGGAGCCGTTTCAAAAAACAAAACCACAGAAGGAAGAAAAATCTCAAACCAAAATTGGGCAAAGCAAAATTCAGGCTTTTATTTTGAAATATCACTGCAATTCCATAAATCTTGAATTAAAGGATTCTAGATACCAAAAATATGCAACGAAAGTAACAAAACCACAACTACCACATGAGCAAACATACATGATTGGAGGCCGAGACAGAGGGGCTTGTCACACGAACGATGGCTAGAGGAGAAACAGGAAGCACAGAGCGCTACAGCTGGAGGGAGAAGAATCCATGCCGGCGCCCTAGTAATTTACAAGACTTCAAAACCAGCCCCTCCCGTCCCTCCCCCTCGCCGCCAACGCCAGTCACTTACGTTGAAGGACGCCAGGGCCTCGGAGACGCTCTTCTCGATGAACTCGTCGGTGATTCGCCGGGAGGGGTGCTCATTAAACACGGAATTCATAAGAGCAATCTTTGCGGCACTCCGCCGGGCCTCAGCTTTTGTGGGGCAGAACTAGGCAGTCACGGGGGAGAGAGAGACGAGCGAGTCAGGAGCAGTGGCAGGGAAACCCGTGGGACAGCAGACACTTGGACTCTCTCCGCACACATCAGCTGTGTTCCACACTCCACAGTCGTTATTGTGCAATGGCTGGGTCGCGTGGAAACACAGTTTTGATTCAGCATCCTGAAGTCATTAAGGAACTGGAGACCGCTGCAGCCGGGACCAAAGTGAACGCGGGATGAGGGGGGCTGCTGAAGTCAGCGTGTAATAACCAACAGGGAAAATGCCCGTTTAAATTGTCCACGGAATTAATTGCTCAAAAGCCAGGTTCTGGCCATCCTGTTACAAATCTGTATCTCCGTAAACAGACAAGGTTTTTTGCTTTTTTGATCCCTGTAGAGAACCGAGGATGATACCAAAGCTATGCCGAGACAGCTGTCTGCAGAGGCCTTGAGTGTCCATCCGAGGCCCTCAGCTGGGATTCTGGGCTTCACGCTTAGCTGTGAGCAGGCATTTCCCAAATACAGTGAACCCTCATTTATCGCGGTTAATCGGTTCTAGACCCTACCGTGATAAATGAAATTCCGCGAAGTAGGATTCCTTATTCAAGTCGAAATGGTGTGCAACCTCCACGATTTTCTTGCCATCTTTGATCATATCCAAAAGTTTTACCTTTTCCTGGATGGTGAGCATCTTCCTCTGGCGCTTATTTTTATTGTCAGAAGGCTTGGAAGAAGCAGCTCATTTAGGAGCCATCATAGGGCTTAGATAAAATTTCTTAAAAATCGCAAACAATTACAGTACACTGTACAAAAGCAAAAATGCATCTGATACGTAGCTCCGATACGTAGCGATGCAGACAGAAGCGTGTACAGTATGTGCCAATCAGTGGCAGTAATGACAGCATGCGCTGTTACGCAAAAACCGCGATAGAGTGAAGCCGCGGAAGTCGAAGCGCGAAGTGGCAAGGGTTCACTGTCTATGAGTAAGCCAAGGGAGCTGCCCCTACACAGGGTCTACAGTCTGAAAAGGCGTGTGTAGCCTCTTACAGTCAAGTGGCGGGGTTAGGGCTGGCGGGGAAGGGACACTGATGCAGGAAACAAGAACAGGTGAGACCCGGGCTCACGTAGTTCCATAGTATTCAATGCAGGCATCAAAGAGCAAGTCTGATTTTGAGAAAGTTTAAGTCATTCAACTTTGGATCCCTAAGCACCCCGCCACTCCTGTATAATTCATCTGCACTGGACGCCTCGGTGTCTCTGTCGGTGTGATAAGGGTTAAAGAAAAGGAAGGCAGTGATGTTAGCATTTAAAGATGTGGACTGGGAGAGGGCCACTAGGAACTGAACAGCAGTAACTCCCAACCTCCATTTGCTGACAGCTGTCTCGAGACATTCAGACATTCGTAGCTGGTATCATCAGCCCCAAATAATCTCGCTACTTCAATTTGTCTTGTACTTTTTTTTTCCCTCTTCAGTAACCTTTTCCCAGCCTACTATAATAGTTCTGTTTATATTTGTGAAGAGTACCACCAGGAGAGATTTCACCTGCCAATAGGGATATGAAAGAGGCCAAGAATCACCACGATTTTTTTTTCAAATCCTTATTCAACAACATGAAGAGGTGGTAGAAGGAAGGAAATGGTCTATTCTGTGAAAAGGGAGAACATAGGACCTGTCATTCTAGGAATGCGCTCTCATTTATTTCTCTGAAACGGCTGTGATTCAGAGGGAAACATTTTTACTTGCCTGATGTGAAAGTAAGTTTTCTGAGATTTTTTTTCTGCTTGAGACAGGGACTGAGGTTTATTTACACAACAAATCTATTAAGTTCCCACTATGTGCTGGGCATGAAGTTGAGTAGCAAGGTTTTAACAGTGGGCCAGAAAGAAAACAGCTATAGTCTTTGCCCTTAGGAAGGGGACATACTCTACAGAGAGAAAGCGAGAAAGAGGGAGAGAGAAAGAGAGAGGGAGAGGGAGAGGGAGAGAGAATCAATTTTAAGATGTGATAAGTGATATGATAGGGTCGGAAGAATTCAAGGTACTATAGAAACACATAGCAGGGGGTCTAAATGTGTGAAGAGTTGGTTACACAAACTACATGCAACAGAAACAAAGGTATGTATCTGTTTTGTTCGCTAAATTCCTGTTCCGATGCTACCTTGGCAATACAGAAGGCTACTTTCCCGTCTGTAATGTACAAGTCCATCTCTGCTGATAATATCCACACTAGTCAAATTTCTCAGGACTCTACAAGTAACGACTGCTTTCATTGTCATACATGACAGCTCTCTCCTGTGGCTGTAAAATGTCAGTGCGAGGAAAGGCTTTAGAAATGACCGGCCTGTCTTCATGTTATAGGCGGGGCAACAGCCCTGAGACGTTACCTGAACTGCCCAGCTGACGCTCAGAGGGATGGGGCTCAGATCCCCTAACTTTACACAAGCGCTGCCTGTTCCCACTACACGTAGTCCTTCCCCTGCGATCTCTTAGAAAACTGGACAAAGAATAGGGGGAAGGAATATTACTCTAATCCCCAAAGAGGTGACAGGAAGTTGGAGCGCAGTGACTGAAGCGGGTTCAAAACAGCAGTGTGGCTAGTTTTCTGATCTGTA